TGCTGCATTGTGTGATGAATATCTTTCGCCAGTCAGGATGTCAACATGCAGACTGTTCATCTATTTTGTTCACTGAATAATGCTTTCTCGTACACACGTATATACGTATGCACATGACAATCATACATCTGTTTTTGATTTTCCTTTTTCTTTTTTTTTTTTTGATGGGGTCAGTAGGTAAAATTGGTATTGTTTTTAATTTCTTAATGCTGTTTTGTTATTATTTTAAAGCTGGTTATTTGCTTGATTTTGGTGATTATGCATATATAAATGGTAGAAACTCTAGTTTGTAATACTTATTAGTATTTATGCGGTGGTATTAATTTTCCTGGGGGAGGGAGAAGTAAGTATAATTGTACTGATACAGGAATGGTAATTGTGGACTAATGCGGCAATGGTAATTGTGATGCGGTAGTAATGGTGGGGGGAGCAGGCGATGATAATAACAATTGTAGCAGCAAATGGTTATTGTAAAGGGGTAGAAGTGATTGTAGTAATGGTAGTGGAATGGTAATAACAATAATTATAATTATTATGATGGAAGTTTGAACTAGAAAATAATTGATGGTGTTATGGTGTCAGTAGTTTCTCTTTTCATGTTCATAGGGTCAATGGTGGTTTATGTGGTGGCGTTTGTTGCTTTTTTCTTTTTATCCATTTGGCATAAATTGTGATAATAGGTATTTGTTTTCATATCTGCATTTAGAAATTATTTCTGATCTTATGTTTAGTAATTTCATTTGTTGTCTTTTTAATGTCTTTTAAATGACAAAAAAACCCAAAAAAACCAAAAAGGACAAAAAAAAATAACATCAGAAAATAAGCAAATGGATTTTGTGCCTAAAAACACTCCATCCAGACGGACTTCATCACAAATTTAACAACATAGATAGAATTAATAAATAACCCCATAAATCAAGCCCTACCCACATTTCTCACCCACACAAGGCAAACATGCTTTCAAAGGGTGGTTGAGGTCTCACACTTATATGCACACCCACATTAATACACACTACCAAAAACTAAATGATAACATACACTTAAAGATACATCCCCTTCCCAGGAACCAATAAAACTGTCAAAATTACCAAGGCAATTCAGAGTAGCATGAATCTATCCATCCTCTATCTTAAAAAAACAACTCAAAAGAGGTCATTTGACACAAGGACTGACCAAAATTAACGATAAAAAATTAAATAGTTCATTTTCTCCAAGTCATTCATTCCTGTAGTTCACTTCTACTAACAAACAATTTTTTTTCTCCTGATGATGGCCATGCTGGCCGAAACAAGTCGAGGAATCTAATTGAAATAATAATACAAAAAAAAATTGATATACAACAGTGTGTCTGAAAATTTTAATTTTTAATTTCTCAATATTTTTTATTGTTCAAAACACACACACACATATATATATATATATATATATATATATATATATATATATATATATATATATATATATATATATATTGTGATAAACAGGGCGACAAAGATGAGGACAATAATCCAAAAAATGTAAATAGTGTCTCTACTCTATGTTCCAAGAAATAGGACTCAAGATAAACACTTTCCAAAAGAGAAATTCTGGTCTGGAAAGGAAATGAAAGCAGTGATGGCACCTACCCTGGATCTATCATAAAAATTCAAAATGAGGAATTAATAAATACTAAACACTTCAAAAATTTCAGTGTATGGATAAGTTATAACAAATTTAGTCAAGGAAATAAGGAAATTGAACATAGGATATGCTGTACCCAGGGTAGTTTTACCCAATTCTGCAAATTGCTACAAACTAGAACCATGTTCTTAAATAACCTTGTCAAATCTAGACTTTCATTCTAGATTATAAATGTCATTCATGGCACCAAGCTCATTCTGAAATATCTAAACTTTCAGTTGTATAAACTGTCAACTTTTAGATCAATGATTAAAAATGGCTTCAAACAAATAAAATCAGTAGGTTTTGAAGATCATCCCTTATAAAACCTCATGGACAAGGGGCCATCATATGATTGGAAAGAAGTGGAGAATATATTGTTGCACAATTTATTTTTGTTCAATATATATATATATATATCTACTTCAACTGTGGCATTTATTTTCACCGACTGAGTGTATCAATAGTTCCAAAAAGTGTGGATGGTTCTGCACAAGCCTTCACCACTTTAATCATGTCACTTGTGTGGGTTTTCTGGTGGTTTACCTTGATTCATTCATTCTTTCTTTCTTGTCAGCTGTCAATATACCACATAACACCCTTGAGCGTTTAGCCTTGGAGTGGTTAGAATGGAGATCAACCTGTTTTAGTGAACTCAGCAGTTTTCAATCTGCTTGTCTGAATCATCAAGAAGTGAGAGCAAGATCTAAAAGGTCAGCCAATTCACCATGAAAATTCACCATGAAAAATCGATAGGAATAGAATTTGAACTGTCGATAAAAGCACATTTAGAAAATTTAAGAAATCTTAACTAATGAATTTTAATAAAACTTTGTTTATTTATAACATCAATAAATGGATTTATTAATTACAAGATTTCCTTGAAGAAAAAAAAAACAATAACATTAGTGAAAATAATTTTTCTTGAAAGTATCCACCTCATGAAATTTCAATAAAATGCTATTTAATCATAAATTTTACCTGTTTTAAGATAATTAAAATCAACTTCATTTTTTTTTCTAAATCCTACCAGAGAAATCCTAAATCAGAAAACTTACACTGTAAAATGAAATAAAATTGATTTCATTTTTTTTTTTTTAATTTTTTAAATTTTATTTGTTAAATATTATAGATTCGTGTTATACAAAAAAGAAAAACTATTAATGAAAAAAGACTCTTTATAATAAAAGGTTTTTAAAATGTAATAAAACTTTTAGTGTTTGAAAGTTATTTTATTCTCCCTGACTTTGGTCATGAATGAAATGTTATTGTTTTTTGATTGACTGATTCATTTTTATGGTTTACCAACCCATTGTAGGTTATTTAAAGCCAGACAATATTTTTAGATTGTAAGAATTTTATTTTATTTTTTTTATAGATAATAATGATTTAGAGATACAAGTCTTACTAATTAACCCATAGAGGGAGAAGAGTTGGATTCATACCTTTTCCAAAGGTATAAGCGAATATAACAAACCAAACTAAAATTGGAATTTGGCTTTCTGATTAACAAACTCAAGCCATTGTACATTAAACCACCTGCACATCTGCATTTACAATACCTGATATTTCCACGTGATCTCTCATATAGATACTAACCAGGCTCAATATTGCTTAACTTAGGAGATCATATAGGAACCAATGTTTCAACGTGATATTGACGTAAGCCTTGAAATATTACTAGTGATTTAATAATAAATAAATTCATTAACAGTTACTAACTACTGTATTTTTTTTCTTAAAGAGAATATATGTATTTTAATATGTATGGAGGCCCAGTTATGCCAAAACTTGTTCATTTCCCTTTGAATATTCAAATCTTATCTGGATGATTGTTGAAGACATCTCTTGACTATTTGAAAACCAAGCTGAAATGCCATTTTATTTACACTTATACATGGTAAAATGGAAATATTAAAGTGTTTCTTTATTTAGAAGCAACCTTCAACAATCGTTCATCCCTAATGATCTAATGGCAAATTAATCTTCCATTTTTCTGCATTTTGCAAAGGTTGTTTCTCTGCTGCTGTATAGTAATAAATTGCCATTTCTTATCAAAACTAATTACATTTGAACATTGCACTTGGATTAAACTTAAGGGATAGGATTCAAATGGATTTCAGTAATAATAGAATTGGCTGTTTGATTTTGTTTACTGGCTTATTGACACCTCTATGGGTTATTTAATGCTAAATTCTAAATTTTTAGAGCCCAATTGCATGCCTTCAACTACAGATAAAATGAATTGTTGGTCATTTTGCTATAAATATGTAATGCTGGTAATTTTACTATAAAAATGTATCTTTATACTTTCATAGTGTTTGCTTTTTGTTTCAGGGGTTAACTATTTGCCCATAGTTGGGACCCTAACAGGTACTACCACCCTGGGTCAGGGTGGACTAGAGAATAACAGCAATCAAGAAGTGGTTCCACACTCCTCAAAACCTCCCAATCAGAGTTCTTGCTGCTGGATGTAGTTTATTGTCATATCCAGGACAATGTATTGTTGGTCATTTTACTATAAATATGTATTGTTGATAAGTGGCATGGTGAGTCCTAGCCACAAAGGTTAAAACTGGTGGAAACAAAGAATGTACATCCGAGCACTTTCCATGGAAGTAGCAACAGAGCAGTGAGAGTCTTGCCACACACACACACACACACATATATGTGTGTGTGTGTGTGAAAATATATAGAAAATAGAAAAGAACTCGTTAGGTAAATAATCCAAAGTTCTTTAGTATTTTTGTTATTATTTTAAAAAAACAGTGCTCGATACAAAAGTAGAGCCTAAAAGCCCTACCCAATAATAAAAAACAAAAAATAAAAAAACCTTTAAGAAGTCGTCAAAAAACCAAATGTTAGCTAATTATGACAGTTTTATATACACAAAACCCTTTCAGGAGAGCAAATAGAATAAAAAAATAAATAAATCTCCATAGACACTTAACCGTTAACCAGGCTAGACGATGTCATCTTCTGCTTTAAATTTAGACACCCCAACCTTACCCTGACTTGACCTCTTTGAATGTAACTGAGATATTGATACAAATTATTAACCCTTATGCCCCTTTTTTTAAATAATTGCTCTAGCCGTTACCAAAGTAATTATAATTTTAATAATGAATATGCTTATAAAAATGCGTAAATTTCAAAAATTAGTTATTCCAAAAATTGCGCTTGAAGATGGAACAGAGCTTGGTACTTTAATTCAATTCAAATAATTATAATGAAGTTTTCGGCTCTTGTTTTGAAACATGAGAACTCTTATGTAGCGATGGAATCATATTTTTATACATATATTAGTTTTGAAGAGAAGAAGGGAAAAATGCAATGGTTACCTTAGTGACAGAGAGATCCATATGCTCACTAACATTGCCATCTGACCAATCTGAACTTTCCACCTCTCGTTGAATGTCCATTGCATAAGGCTTTAGAACTTTCTTCTTGTTACTTGGCTTTACATCAAGGGTGCCATAACTGGATTGCAAGTATTCACGTTCCTCTGTAATGAATTGAATTAAAAAATCTTAATTATATCAAATGACAGAAAACAATACACTCAGAAAGAGGCCAAGGAAGAGATTAATTAGAATATGAAATTCCAAAAATGTATTGCTGCTAATATATTTTTTTTTCTTCAAAAAAGTATCGCTGGTAAAATGTATTACTGGTAATAATCTTTTACAAAAATGTGTTGCTGGTATTAAAACCTATTTTTACACTTTCATAGTGTTTTGACCACATTTTGGGAGTCAACTATTTTGCCCATAGCTGGGACCCTAAAAGATGTTACCACCCTGGGTTAAGGTGGACCTGAGAACACCAGCAATTAAGAGGTGGTTCCATGCTCCTCAAAACCTCCTGATCAGAGACCTTGTTGTTGGATGTAGTTTATCATCTTACCCAGGACACAGATGTAGTTTATTGTCATATCCAGGATGGTTTTGAGTAGAAAATTTAATCATAAAATATAAATTTCAGTAAAAACAGTTATACTGATGCCTTTATTGTATTGGCTTCATCAGTCATAAGCAGGTTTCCTCCAAAAATGGAACCATTCATAGCAGTCAAAGACAGGACCGGTGCAAAAGTCTTGTGCGACCCCTTACTCTCTACTACATTTCAATTTTCATAAGGTAGCATTTATATGAATACAAATTTTACTGCAACTGAATTACGTACAATAATGGATCATGTGCAATATAGGTGAACAATTCAACTAGAAAAATTGAAAATAAATACAAATTAGAGACATGTCATAATAGATCATTCCATCTTCAATAAATCAACAATGTCTGCTTTGCAGCAATTTTTAACATCAACTTGTTTTTTCTTGTTAAAAAGTTGAATAATTTAAACACATACAACATTATTAATAAAAAATAGTAAATTTTATATAGTGTTTTTTCAAGACTTAGCATGTGCAAAACAAATTCATGGAATTGGGCAGAAAAAAAGAACCCAGAATGACAAAACTTTTTCATCTTTTAATAGTCAGTTGTGCTTAGTTTAATTTAAAACATATATAAATGTAGGTAGCAAAAAACAAATGTTGATAAGATAGCGAGGGTCAAAAAGCACTCCCTGGGGCCCCCCAATCAGGCTAAGGCTCCTCTGGTCTGGGATAGTACACACCAGCCCTGGTCAAAGAACTACTTGTTCTGTAGAAGTTTCACATTTACTGGATAATTAACGTGCAAATCAAAAATGATCAATTAGCCAAATAGCTATGCTAAGAATAAATTTATTTTCTATCAATTCACACCTCTAAAAATGGTCATCTCCTAGCAACTCTATTTTCTGTCGATTCGTACCTCTAAAGATGATCATCTCTAAGCAACTCTATTTGCTGTCGATTCGCACCTCTAAAAATGATCATCTCTAAGCAACTCTATTTGCTGTCGATTCGCACCTCTAAAAATGATCATCTCTAAGCAACTATATTTGCTGTCGATTCACACCTCTAAAAATGATCATCTCTAAACAATTCTATTTTCTGTCAATTCATAACTCCAAAAATGACCTTCTCTAAGCAAATTACTTGAAGGAACAAAAATAGCAAATCAAACATTTGTCTTTAGTCAAATTTGACAAAATTCAAACCACCAAAATATTTCTAGTTATTTTCAGCAAAAGCCCACCTGGTATGGATAGGTTATCACATAATCACAAAGAACTGTACCAAATAAATGAAACCACATCACTTGCGGGCTTTCAACAGTGGAAACAACTAAAATGGATAGCACATGTAACTCAAAGAGAAAAATAATGACATAAACAAGATGTTGAGAACCCCGCCATCAATACTGGTAAGTGCGATAACAGTAGTTTGAGAAATGTATCTTCCTTAAAAAAAATAAAAATAAAAAGATATTTTATAAATTTCAACTGGATGTGGCACCACCTGCTCAGCCAATGAATGTCAAACGTTTCCTTAGAAGGAAATAGCTAATATTATCATTAGATATGAAGAGAACAGATACTACACTTTATTCCCAGCCTGATGGCCAGGGAGGGAAGAAAAGCATAAATTGAGTCACACTGGCTGCTCAACCAATGAATACTGAATGTTTCCAAGGAAATGGCTAATATTAGAATTAATATTGAAACCTTTTTCATAGATAATACTATCTCTTTAATGTATGTTGATAAATACTTCATATGCATACATACACATATACAAATATATTCATGCAAACTTTGTCAAACAGTAAGCATAAATAGTAAGTTTTTAACTGGATTAATCTGTACTTTAATCTGATAATTCCAGGATTAGTAGTTTTTCAAATGAAGTGTGTTACTGATTAATTTAATTGCCTTAGATTACACCCTAAAGCTAAATATAATCAGAAATAGGTATCAGAAAAAATAATTTAAATCTATATAATTTCCAGTGAATTTCTATATATGCTTTTATCATTTGCAGTGTCACTAGATATGTAACCATTAGAGTGAATGAAACTTTTTATATATTTTTTTAATCAACCTACCCATGATATCACCAATTGCCTAATCAGCTGGTAGCCCTTGCAATGCATACACAAGTGATAGTAGATTAAAACACTGATTCATGAATTCGGTGACAGTAATTGTGAGTTCAATTCCTTGGTCGGGCAGTGTGTACTTGGACTGAATGGAATAATAATAATTGAGCAGTACTAAAAATAAGAATTAGACGAGATATCCCTAGACGTGGGCAGTGTAATGTGAACAGTCTATCCCAATTGATTGAATAAAGGTTACAGTTCAGAATTCCTTGTAGGTTACCTGGACCAACATACACCTGATGAAGGTCAGAGGGTACAACAGCTGAAATGTTGTGATAACAACAAAGAATAAGACAATATAAGTGTAAATAATGATAACTCCTCATCCGAGAAATTCATATAGAAAGTTAATTTTATTTTAAACCAAACATAACAGGATTTTATTATTTCTAGTGCAGTATTGCACAATCTAAAAACATATTATCATGTATTATAATAAAATTTGAAGTGGTATGTATTTTTATTGGGGGAGCTATCTATACTTATATTTATATGTTTCCTATTCATCCATGCTTTAAATATTGATCTAGTGCTTCTGCTATGTATTTAAAGATGCCTCATAAAATACAAAAAAGAATCTGCACTGTTATTGGTCTTGACCTGGCACCTCAGCTTCAGTCACTTTCTCAGTGTCGTAACATAGCTCCCCTGTGCCTTTTCTATAAATACCTTCATGGTGATTGTTCGGATGAACTTTACTCTATGGTAACCATTATAAATATTCTTTGGGGTTTCATTTTTAAAAGTTTTTAGTTTTATCCCCCACCTCACCAGACAAATTGTAGATATGGGCACTACTTATGACTTCATAGAGGTGGCTGTAGTAAGAATGGTAAGTAGGAATGTCTTGTTTTGGTCTAAGGAATACTGTGATATGTTTAAGTCAGTAACCGTGGCTAGCTCACTTTAAAATAAAACAGATTGAAGACTAACCTTCTCGTATCCCCACTTTTGGCCTTGTGCCACATTTTTGTATTTTTCAAAATAAATATCACTTTCTGTAACAGAAGTGACAGTGACTTACCAGGAGCAAAGCGAATTCGCTGCCTCGCGTGTTGAACCATTCTCTGAGAGTCGGTCGCGCGTGTGTATGCCTACTGCCATTTTTATGCTGCAGACTTATTTGCATTTGCTACCCATTAAAAACCAGGTGAGTGGACGTGGGAGAGCACTGCTCTTCTAGGCTTCGGCAAGACTAGACGTATTGCCGACAGAAAGCGACAGCAATTTCTGGACATCCGATACTTTCCTCTATGGTATCTAGACTTTATGAATTTAAGTGCAGTACTAGATTGGCAGCTAGGTCTCATCATTTTACAATTGAAATGGCTAGATGTAACTGTAAGTTATGTCCTAATAGTTTCTTCTGTCACATTTCTCACTTATGGAACTCTCTTCCAGCTTTTTGATCTTCAAAAATTTAAATGCAATATCAATCATTATCTTCTGTCTTCTTAATTCCTGTATTTTTTTTTTGTTTTTTTGTTCTCTCTCTGTAATCATGTTTTGTTTTTTTTTCTATTCTCTCACTCAGTAAACCCTTGCACCTTAGTGGCTTTATTGTCTTGCTTGGGGTGCAAAATACCATCAAATAGGTTTTCAACTAACAATGTACATTGAAAACAAAAGTACAAGTCATGTTGCAGTTTTATGAAATTTTATCTCATAAAATAGGAATTACTAATCAATTCTTATATATCGTTTATATATACTTGCAATCTCACATATTGTGCGACTCCCAAATTTTCACTTATAAAAAATGATTATTCATGTATCTCGTGTACCATGCAAGTTCTTTTTTTTGAGAGGCCAAATTAGAATAGCCTAACCTCTTTTCCCCTATCTCTTTATCCCATCTTCTAGTTGAATAAGTTAAAGAAATAAAAGAGAATGATAAAAGTATCATTAGTAACGCTATACTTGTTGCATAAACGCCTACAGCCATAAACAAGAAACAGTTAAACATCTTATAAACGTAAACAATGGAAAAGATGTATATTCACTATGTTTGTATTTTTTAATACAATACTAATATATGAATATTACATGCATTATTATTGGATATCAAAATCATGTTTAATTTAAATACAGCTATACTTTTTTGACTACAGTAAATGGATATATAGTTTCATGAATGGCATAGTCAGGGCCAGCAGTACATACACTAATTTTATATCTCATGTATGATGCAACCTCCTTAAAATTAGCTTCAAAATTAGGTTTTCAAAAATCACATGATACACAAGTATATATGGTAAGTTAAATGGAATGCATTTGACCCTGAAAACATCCGGGTTTTTTCAGTTGCATACACATCATCAGCATGTATTGTCTGAAAACTGCTGAACCATTTTTTTATAGTAATGTTCACATTGTAGAAAGCCCGAGAGCCTCTCAACGTAGAGGATTAAAGATTAAGTGATATAATTTATTTGGGATATTGTATCTATCTCTT